TTGGGGTCACGGTCTGCTAAATGTCCATTAGTGTATGCCAAGCTGCTCAACTCTTCCTGTGAATGACAAACAGGCACTTGTTCGAAGGAAACCGATAACGAATCATCTACTTCAGTGGAGTGTGGAGAGCCAACTTCCGCAGGAAAGGAAGTGATGCTGGGAGAGGCATCGGGTAGAGTATCTTTAAGAGAAGTCGAGGAGAGAAAGCTTGATTGTCTATCTTGTGACGATATGGAGCTGTTTTCTATATTGCTTCTTGAACAACCTGCCATCGAGTTCTTGCAGACTTGCTGACTGTCTTCAAAACCGAGACCAGAGTTCCTGAGACCTAACTTGCAATCTTCACCAGAGACCTGAGAAGAATTGTCAGGGGATTGTGGGTAATGCCCTGAACTGTTCTTCCCAGAGTCTGTGGGGGAAAATAACTCAAGGGTTTTTTCATCCGAGCTTGTACAGACATCGTCTTTGAGGCATCCATCAAGCTCTGTTGGTGTGATATCAAAATTAACACTTTTCTCACTCTTTGGAGCAAGTGGGGAGGGAAGTCCAATAGCACTGTTTGAGTCAGGGGCCCCATCCATACTGCGAAACTTCTCTGGACTTTCATCAGTAACTGTTGTACAGCCATTCACCTGCTTGTCATTGTTCTCAGAGGCACAATCTGTTCTTGAGCTCACATGGTTGCCTTCAACATCCTCCAATGGCCCATGTTCATTCTCCATCCCCAACTTTTCCAACTGGGCAGTAATGTCCCCAGGTGTAGAAGTCTTTGACTGGACTGCACTTGAGGGTTTCAGATTGTCAGGCTCCTTTTTGTCTTGCTTTGGCTTCCCTTTGGTCAAAGGATCCTTTTTAGGGAGCGTCAAATCTTTCTTTAGTGAGCCATACTTGCCAACTGTCTTTCTAGCCTCTGCATTGCCTGGCAAATTTCCAGTGGCTTTCTTAACATCCTTGCCAAGAGTTTTGGTAGTTTTTTTGTCTTCTGGTTTGACCTCTTTCTTAATCTCCTTTTTCAAATCAGGTTTAATATCTTTCTTGGGCTTTGCACCAAGATCTTTTTTCAAG